AGGGTCCTTCTGGAGGTGTTCACGTGGATGTTTGGGGGCCTTCTAAGGAGGCATCATTGGGAGGTAATATATGTTTGGTTATTTTTGTTGGTGGCTATTCTAGGCGTGTTTGGGTTACAACCAAATCCCCATTAGAGAAAGTCCTAGTAGTCTCTAACAAATTAAAAAAGTGTAAGATGAACAGAAAGGTGAAGTTACTTTATTTAGGTTTTGATAGGAGGTACAAGATGGACCTGTTTTTACATTGGAACCGAGCTCACAGCATTTCGAGACACTTTGTTGGAAAGGAAATCTTGGGGCAACTAGATAGGGTGACAAATTTGGAGAGCCGTGCCTTGCTGGAGGAGGATAGATGTTTGTTGTCAAGTAATGGTCTGCAGAAGAGTTTTTGGACTGAGGCTTCGACATATTCGGGTCATTCTTTAAAGAGTTGTCAACTACTGTGATAGGAGGTATAACTCAATTGGGTGTTTGGTCTGGTAGTGTCACTTCGGTTGAGGCTTCGATGAGGGAGCTAATTGACTCTTAGCAGGTGGAGAGTTTTAGACAGATCATAGAGGTATCACAGAAGGTGGAGAGTGATGCTACTTCACATTGGGTGGAGATTACTTCACATTCTCCATATCATACTGCATCATTTGGGATTCCAACTGAGGTGACATAGTTTGAAGATCATTTGTTTTTGGATGCAGATGATGAGTTGGATTTTGATTCGAGTGCACCTGATAGATGCAGTTTGGATATAGCCATTGGTTCACCTCACGTGGAGGAGTTTGAGGCAATTGGAGGTGCTATCAGCCACAGAGTTGATGATATTGGAAAAGAGTTGCGAACTCTTCTATTGGATTGAGGTCGTTCGCGACCATTTGGGTGAACTACGTGAATGTTTGAATCCTTGGGCAAGAGGATACGTAGGCAGTCTTTATGATGCAGCCAATTTGTTAGTTGATACCGACATTTGGAGAGTGCTTGCATTCTCATTTGGGTTCTCGACTTGTTGTGGATTGAGTCCGTTGTCGTAATTTGTTTCACTTCGTACTAGACGTAATAAGTGAGACATTTGGTTTGGTTGGTGTTGCCTCAGTTTTGGGAAAACTTCACCGAGGTGGAGAATTATTGATTGATGGAATCACGTGGGGGGGGGGGGGCGGGGATCACAAGAGCCAAAGCGAGATTTTAGCTAAGCCGGCCGTAAGAGGCTAGCTAAGAGCGCGAGTTTGAATTTTTCTGGTTCTTGGACTTCGGCGTTCTGCTGCGCCACCCGAAGACACAACAAATATAAATATCACCTTAGGTTCCGTGAACACGTTGGCTTTGATGAAAAGACGGGGGCGCAGTAGAGCGTGCAAGCCTAGGTATGCCGGGGAGAAAGAGAATTGCGGCGTAGGCAGTTCCCAGGTGCAAGGAAGCATATCTTTTTAAGGCCGGCCCACAGAGGACAAAATGTCAGAGCTTTCTTTGGCTTCGTGCAAAACATCCTTTTGTGCTTTCGAGCAGAGATATTTTGTGTTGGGGGTTTGAGAGATTGTGTGCAGGCGTTTTTAGATTGAGGTGATTGCTAAACCCCTAGTTGTATTCTCTTCTCCCGTTAAATTGTAGACTTCCCTTACTGTCCCCGTGGACATAGGCAAAATCTCGCAACCACGGTAAAACTGTCTGATTTATGTTTGTGCACCATTGTAAATAAGTATTTTAGGTTCCCTTCGACACAGTCGAGTCTTAGAACTGATGAGAAGCAAGGAGCTGATTATCCCACTTTGTTAAGATATTCGCACCCTTCAAAATTCTTTGTTTTCTTTTGACGTGAGAATAGGAATTCTTATTGAATCTTTCTCTCTTATTGTGCACCAGAAATTCTGCCGGAAATTTCTGTGCGCGACAACACGTTAGACTATTAGTAGATATGCCTCTTCTTAACCCAATCCTTTCTCTCTTTGTTTTT